GAAAAAAAACTGCCCTGGATTTTATTTTTTTAAAAAAGAAAAGATTTCTTTTTATCTTTATTGAGAGAGAGATTGAGAGAGAGAGAGAGGATTTGAATTGCCTTCTGGAAGCCTTTAGAGAGTTTCATCCTTCCTATGAACTTTCAAACCAATTTAGCCAGGTTTCAAGAAGGGTGGGAGGTGGGAGATGATATATATATATATATTGGCATGTGGTGTCAACCACAGATCTGTCACTGATCTCAACCAAGCTCTGAAGAACCCAGGTTGGGAGATACTTCCCCTAGGCGAGGAAAGATGTACAGCGGTGCCTCACTAGACGACGATAATCCATTCCACTGAAATCGCTGTCTAGCGAAATCATTGTCTAGCGAAAAGCAAATCGTCATCTAGCAAAAATCAGTTTGCGGAGCAGGGACCAAACACTGTCCAGCGAAATTCCCCCCCATAGGAATCGCTGTTTTCTGAATCACTATAGGGATTGCAAAAAGTCAATGTCTAGCGAAAAAACTGTCATGCGGGTAACTGTCATGCGAGGCACCACTGTAGTTCTCTTATGTCCTCTTTTTTTAAAAAAAAACTGAGACCAACGAGGTCTTTTAGGTGGAAATAAAGTTGTGGAAGATCCTGCCTGGAGATGACAGGTACCACTCCATCAAGACTAGCGCTTCTGTTCTGGGACAATGAAATTAGGCCAATGTGCTCTCCCCCTCAGTCCCCATCAGAGACCACAAAATCTAGGCAGAACCTTCTTTCGAAACAAAAAGCTTACAGGATCAAGGTGGGAATCGTGGTCATGTTTTGGATGGCTGGTTCAGTTTTAGAGACTTTTTCCCAGGGATTACAGGGGAACCCCCTGAGTCAGTCGCCCACCTCTCCCTCATTTTGGTAAATAAATGAATGAATTCTTGGTCATGTTGTTTTCATTGCTCTTATACCTGCCTGGACAGAAAGTGTAAAACAAAGAACAAAATGGGCATGCTTCCGAGCCCACGGTGACTAAATGCATATTAAAATGAAATTTGAGCACTTCTGTAGATCTCAAGCCAAGGAACAGGGAGCTTCCTCCCACAGTCTCTGCCAATGTATTCTATAAACCTAGATGGAGGGGGAGCTGGAATTTTGTCGCCTGGCAGCAGTATTTTCAGGGATATGAAAGAGCACCTCTCTTACAGGAATGACAATATCTCTATAGCTTGTTTCTCTGTACACAGTTCTAATTTTTTGAAAAGCTGAAGGGGGGCCGTTCAGATCCATGGCAACCACGCAAACATATACATGTCTACTCAAAAGTAGATGTCACTGGCATTTCACTCTGTGGATGCCTGTATAGAACTGCATCCTTATACGTGTGTTTTGAGATTCGGCAATGGTTTCTTTTCACACAGCAACGCTGGGGAGCAAGGTTTACACATTTGTTACATGGAAAGAGAGACAAGAGGGGAGGGACGAGCCTGACAAGGAGGCATCTGCACACGTTTTCACGCATAACCCTTGCCATGGATATAGTATATCATCCAAGGATTTTTCCGACATCTGGTTGAGGAGCTGACCTTGACATTGACGACTGGAGGACTTTTGGTGGGTGCAGGGAAAGGGGGCAACTTGCGTGGTGCCCCACACCGTTCCAGACCACAACATCACAACTCCCAAGTAACTCCAGAATTCATCAACCGCCAGGAGAGATATTCCACCAGGAAAGCTTGTCGGTGCAATTAACGCCAGTCCCTAAGAATGAACTCATTGTCATTAATAAAGCTGATCAGAAATGGGGCACCTGGAAAATGTTGAGGCTAGATTTACACTAGAAGATGGGGGACACCACCCTCTCCCTAGTTTCCTGATTAAATAAGTCAACAGACTTAATAGAGTCTATCGATCAGTATCAAAAACGCTTTCTAGAGCTGAAAAAGCGGCTGTTTTCCTTCATCCAAAAAGCAACCATGAGATATGAGCACCACGTTTTTTTCAGTCCAGAGGAATAGTTGCGACTAAAATGAAATCCTGTCCATGAATCCATTTTAAACAAGAAAGAGGAAGCCCACCACAGTATTTCCACTTGCTGTTGTGTGTTTGCTTTTCCTGATCAAAAGAGAATGGGTTTGAAAGGGATATATATATATAAACCAATAAAATACTGCATTTCTATTCTTCCAGAAACGATATATATTTTAAAAATATATCGTTTCTGGAAGAATAGAAATGCAGTATTCTATTGGTTTAACTCCAGTCAGGGTAACTAAGAGCTTAATGACTGTTTCGAAACTCCAGGCAATAGAGTCCCTGCAACATTTTATTTAATATTTGAAACCATCTCTGTTTTTGTTTTGTTTGCAAGTATAGATACCTTTCTTTCTTTCTTTCTTTCTTTCTTTCTTTCTTTCTTTCTGTCTTTCTGTCTTTCTGTCTGTCTGTCTGTCTGTCTGTCTGTCTGTCGAAGAAAGAATCTTAACTCAACTCTGTCTTCAAATCAGCGGAAAAACAGAAATGTTTTATTAACACCTTCTGGGTTAGAGTAGTGGTTTGGCCAGAAAGAGCCGACATTCAAAATTTCAGGGCCCACGTGAAACTGCCATGGCATTGACCAGATTACATTTTTTTCTGCACTTCTTTCCAGCATCTTGTTTATCATCCTTGCTACAAGCAGAGTGAAAACACCCGCAGCAGGACGTACCATGGGAGCATCATCCGTGCATTCTTAAGATCGCTGATTTATTTCATTTCATTTCTGATAGCTCTGTTGCTCATTACGGTGTCTGTGGCGTAAACACTCGGCCCTCTCCGCCACCGCCACCACAGCAGCTAAGCGCTAAGGTCTCCCTTCTCTGTGATTCCTCACATGGTCACTAAAGCATTTATTTATTTAGTAAGCACTGTCACAGTTGCTCACAGTAATTTCCAGAACGGCAGCTAAGTTAGTCTGGTTGTGGCAGAAAAACAACACGAAGATTCCCGGGGCTTTTAAGAGACGAACAGATTTATTACGGCAGGAACATGCTGTATGAACATGCGACAATGAATTTGTAAGTCCTTAAGGTGTCACAGAACGCTTTTGTTGTTTTCGTTCTGCTAGTGTGACTCTGTCCACTCCCACCTCTCCTCCTGACATCTCACTTAAGACAAAGGGGGGGGGGCTTCTTACCAACCATACAATCACCCCAACCCCCCAACCCACCCTTTCCCCTTGGATTTGACATCCCAGAGATCTCAATTGAGCCGTGAGAGGAAGGGGGGGGGAGTAACTAACCCAGAAGCTTTGATTCAATGCTTTCAAATACAAGGTTATGAAAATCAATATTTAGGCTACCTGGGAGTACCTCCATCCCTCCCCCCCAATAATAACATAAATATTATACACTAGTCATATTAGCTCTCTCTAAAAGAGAGGGGAGAGGGGAGATTTGCATCCGTTTAGAACGGCTCCTTGTGGTTTTCATGCAGACGGATGCTGAAAGCCACCTCTACCTATGTCCATGTTTGGGTGATTGGAAATGTGCGTCTCCTCTCTCCAGATTCGAGAGCCAAAGAGGAGAGAGTCGACATGGCGGGTTTCAAAGGACATGCCCCCCTTCCCCCCCCTCCCTTTGCAACACCCAACAGAGGAAAAGGGCGGAAGGGTGA